CCAACCAACATGACTTTAGATCAAACAGACATGGCAGATGACAGCGAGGCTGTTGCTGTGCTGGTGGTGTTGCTTTCTGCACAGAAAAAGCCCAGAATACGAAAAAAATCAGAGACTTACAGACCTTTATTTCAGTGTTTTCACTCCAGGCTTGGAGCCGCTGCACTGTACAGTTTAGTGTCTCTCTCTGCTGTTCACACCTAATAATAATAATAATATCAGGTATTTTAACCAGGAAACCACAGTTATGCAGTGCAGGGGTTTCAGGACCGGAGCTGAACTCTGAGCTAACTGCACCAGCAAACTTACAGAATCACGTCTGTCTATCTATCTATCTATCTATCTATCTATCTGTCTGTCTGTCTATCTATCTACCTATCTATCTGTCTGTCTGTTTGTCTGTCTATCTATCTATCTATCTATCTATCTATCTGTCTGTCTATCTATCTACCTGTCTGTCTGTCTGTCTGTCTGTCTATCTATCTATCTGTCTGTCTGTCTGTCTATTACACACTCCTATAGCCTAAGAACAGCTCAGCCAGTTTGCATTGAAGTCCCTGTAGTTACTGAATAATAATTAGTATTTAATAAGCCTGAGACATTTTAGAAACATCCAAAACTCTTCCATGGGCCACATTTTACGTTGTATTTTTTCCCAATATGTTGACTTTGGTGAATAAACAGTAATTGTGCATTGAAATGTGCAGAAATGTAGAATTATTTACACTTAGAAAATCACGTCAGTTGACCAAACCTTTGACCACAACTGTAAACGAAGAAAAGTGATCTGTTTTAATTATTATTTGGTTGACAGAAAAACAGAAGAGATCTTGATCCAAATCCTACACAAGCATCTTCAGTTTTACTGCAGATCTGTTCTGATGAGGGAGTCGGGCCTCCAGACGCTCCTGTGTGACAGTGATCCGTCCCTGTGTGAGAGTTCAGAGACGCTGGGAGGAGCAGTGACTCTTTAATGAGGGCTGAAGTCGCTGTCGCACTTCACCATCACCCGCTTCCTTCCCTCTGCGTCACCCCTCATTCTAGAAATGTGTTTCCATCACAGTTTTCACACTTCTCCTACATCGATAGGCCACCTGGTCCACCTCATGCAAGCGTAAAGTGTAAAGTTGAAGTTAAGTTCAAACATGACGTTTTTTCAAGCAGTTTTTATTTAAAATAAAATACAGACATGTGATTTAACTGATGATTTAAATGACTTATTATTACATATTACAAGACATTAAAACAAACACATTTTTATAGCTGAAAAAATACAAAAATGTCATATAATTGAGGATTTTAATGACTTATTATGACTTAGAAGACATTAAAACTTAAACTGACACTTAAAGACACCCACAGACATTTTTATTGCTCTATTAATAAACTGTATTTCACACAGAACACATTTCATTCCACTGCATGACACACAAAGCAGAGATGTGACTCTCTGATAAGCAGCCTGATAAAAACCTCGACTACGTGTGTAAATAGTTTTGCTGTTAGCACAGAGAGAAGCAGCAAACCTCAAACCATTTTACAGAACTGTTACGTGTGGTAGAGAGACAGACAGAGAGAGAGAGAGAGAGAGAGAGAGAGAGAGAGAGAGAGAGAGAGAGATAAGCTTATTGTTGCTGTCAGGACAAAACCATGAACCTCCGTTTTTTGTTTTTCATTTTTGGCATAGTTTGAAATGAGCTGCCCTTCACATTGTGCTCTACTTCTTGATTAATGGCCCAACAGAACGGCTCCAAAATGACTAAATAATGTCTCCTTTAACTTCCATTAAAAGTTAAGTCCATTTTTTACATCTTTCTCCAGTAAAGTTACTTTTTCGGAGATAAAAAGTTTTGAAAAGACAGTGACAGTTTGTTACAGTACTGTGCAAAAATCTCCGGCAGCTGAGAAAATGCTCTGCAAAGCTGTTTATCTGGGCGATGAGCACTTATTAGTAAAAACACATACAGTAGAATAATATTAGAATAATACAATAAATAAACCAGGCACTGTTCTATGTGTGAGTGTAATCTTAAAGGGGAACTCCACCAAATTTGCTAAATTACTTAATCATGCAGTGGTTTAGATGTAAACAAAATCATCTGGAGTGTTTTGGTGTGGAATAAGCCTTTTCCATAGAAATTTGAGTCAAAATTGTTCACCATTGTAGTCCCAGGAACCAGACCTCAAAAGCACTTAATGGCTCTAAAAGCTACATCCTGTTAAGGTGTTACACAAAATGGTTATGAATGCGTAATTTGAGACCTGAGACACTGATTTGTGATAGTTTTGTTATAAAGTTTTGGCCCAAAACGTATTTTTAGTATGAAGTTTTACACCAGGATTAGCTGTGTGTCTCCTCTAAAACCAAGCTAACGTGCTTTTGTTGTTACTAGCCTGTAGCTACAGCTGCTCAGCACGGCTAACGGCAGCAGCAGCTTCTGTTTTCAGTTTTCTTGCCTATTTTTGGAAGATGGCAGAGAATGTAGACGACTTCGAGGAGGTCTGTTTCCGAAATGGTGTAGATCCAAATCAATTTGATCCAGAAAACACAAATGACTTGCAGCGGTTTAAAGAAGACAGAGCCAAAACAGAGAGAGAGGCAGGGTGAACCTCCCAGCGCCGACGCAGAGCAACCCAGGGTGAAGGGAAATTGGTGGTGTTAACAACAAACTACTGGCTACTCTGCTCACCAGTTTGAGGTAGGACAGGATATCGAGGTAGATAGCTATGTATTTTATGTGTGGCCCATTTTATACAGCCTATAAGCTAATGGCTAACGGCTAACAGTGACATACGTACGGTGGATAACGACCACTAATTTATTTCACTCACACACGTTTCTTACCTTGATTGCCTTTATCAGCGTGACTCATAAAACCTTCAGACACAGGTAATTCACTGGTCATGCTGGACAGCAGATAAAATGGTGATATGTGTAGTGCAGACAGGTGGACATCTGGTTCCTAGTGCTACAATGGTGAACAAATTTCTCTAGAAATGCACATTTCAGACCAAACCACTTTTGTTTACATCTAAACCATTAAATGATTAATGAATTTTGCAAAATTGATGGAGTTCCCCTTTAACCATCCCCAGCTCCCTCTAATGAAGTCCAGTATCCAGTACCTCGTTTACCCAGTCCGTTCTAAATTAAATCAGCTGATGGAACTGAACCTGCAACGGCTGGAGTTCAGCAAGAGGAACCGAACCTGTGTTCTCCTAACTAACTTCACCGTAAACAACACATTCGTCTAACGTTTTACTGTATTTCAGTTTATCTGTATTAATTCTGATGATATATTGTGGTTTTACTGCTACATAGATGTTTAATAAATAGTATAAATACAGTTCAAACATATATTAATAGTTTTAAACCAGCTTCTGGGCTGCCGAAGACTTTCACACAGTGCTGTAAGCTAACAGTTGGCTAGTTTCTACCTACTGCTAGAATTCTTAGATAAGTTAAAAAAAACTTAAATTAAAAATTAAAATTAAAAATTTAAAAGAAAAATACAAACTTAAACTACCATTTCACAGAACTGTGGTATGGCTAATATACAGCAGGAGTGAGAAAGAAACAACTAAACAGTTAGAGCCGCACACAAGCTCTAACTAGTTTTTAATCTCCTCAAGCAGATTTTAAATGCACACAGACTTTTATTTTGGAAAATAAATTAAGGTAAATATTACAAACAACTGAGAGAAAAAAATAATGATTTACTAAATAAAATTATTTACTAAACTAATTTACAAAGTATGACGATAAGTGGACTTTTGTCTAATACTTAATACTTAATACTTATCAACTTAAACTACTATTTTATAGAACTCTAATATGGCTAATATAAGGCAGGAGTGAGAAAAGAACAAACTAAACGAAGAGGAACAAAAGAAAGAGAAAAAAAACAAATAAACTTAGTAGCCTCCTAGTTTCCACCTACTGCTGGCATTCTTGGATAAGTGAATAAAAAGACATAATTAAATAAAAATACAAACTTAAACTATCATTTTACAGGACTCTGGTATGGCTAATATACAGCAGGAGTGCGAAAGAAACAAACTAAATGAAAAGGAACAAAAGAAAAGAGAAAAATAACACATAAGCTTAACAGCCGGCGAGTTTCTAGCGCTCTTGGATAAGTCATTAAAAAGGCAGAATGACTCAGAGAGCATGGCTTGATAAAGTCGGCACCCCACTGACTGTTTGCCACTGCTGGTCCCCCCTCGGACCACTCAGATTACAGAGTACTGCCCAGCATACAAGCTCTAACTACTTTTTAATCTCCTCAAGCAGATTTTAAACGCACAGAGACTTTTATTTTACAAAATAAATAGACATATATTACAAACAACCGAGAGAATAAAATAATAACTAGGCCTGATATAAAACGATTTTTATGGAAAATGTTGTTGCTGACGCTGAGCTGGATTCAAATTATTTACTGAACTAATTTACAAAGTATAACTACAGAAATGAGGGAAGAAAATCAGTAAATTTGACTGTGAGTGGAAAACGAGCGATGATAAGTGGAATTTAATCTATTACTCTACTTAACTAAGACTTCAACTGAGACTCTTTACTAAGACTTTAACACAGTTCTGGAAGCCAACAGCCTGAATTCTGCCTACTGCTGGCACTCTTGGATAAGTGATTAAACAGACAGAATTAATATAATAATAATAAAAATACAAACTTAAACTACCATTTTACAGAACTCTGATATGGCTAATATAAGGCAGGAGTGAGAAAAGAACAAACTAAACGAAGAGGAACAAAAGAAAACGAGAAAAATAACACATAAACCAATCAGATAGCTAGTTTCTACCTATTGCTAGCTTTTTTTGGATAAGTTATAAAAAAGAATGAAAGAATGAAAGAAAAATACAAACTACTATTTTATAGAACTCTAATATGGCTAATATAAGGCAGGAGTGAGAAAAGAACAAACTAAACGAAGAGGAACAAAAGAATGAGAAAAATAACACAAACTTAGTAGCCTCATAGTTTCCACCTACTGCTGGCATTCTTGGATAAGTGAATAAAAAGACATAATTAAATAAAAATACAAACTTAAACTATCATTTTACAGGACTCTGGTATGGCTAATATACAGCAGGAGTGAGAAAGAAACGAACGAAATGAAAAGGAACAAAAGAAAGAGAGAAAAATAACACATAGGCTTAACAGACTGCTAGTTTCTACCCTTTTCTAGGCATGACAGAATGAAAGAAAGAAGGAAGGAAACCATTTTGCAGGACTACAGTGTGGCTAGTGTATGATATAAAGACAGCAAGAAAGAGGAATGAAAGAAACAAAACAGAGCAAAAGAAAGAGAAAAACTAATGCTTGGTTTGAACAGCCTGCCGTTTTCACCATTTGTTAGCCTTGTTAGCATCACAGGAAGCTGTTAAAGAGAGAGAACGGAGGGAAGAACCAGAGACGGAACCCCGTTCCCCTTCAGGGATGCTGCTGGCGCAGCGCTAACCTGACAGGTCTGAACGCTCCTATTGCTTATCAGGGCCGTTAGACTTTTTACTCCAGCCGCGTTTGATCGACTTGATTGACTTTTGCATCACCGACTGCCGTTTCACCGACTGTCGCTTCACCGACTGTCGCTTTGCTGACTCCTCGTCTTTCACCGACTCGTCTTCTTTCGCTGACTCTTCTCCTTTGGACGGGTGTTCTTCTTTTGATTCTTCATCGTTCCTCTGCAGATCAAAGTAGGACTCGTACACCGGAACCATGTACTGAGAGACACAAGGACACAACTCGTTTTAGCTCAGATTCAGACGAGCAAACAAACAAACAGCCCCGTTACAGGACAGACGTCTCTCCACTGCTGGGTTTATCTCAGTCTACTGCCGGCCCACTGTGAAATACAGCCTTACACACTACTAGTAATGAAGGTTCTGTGCAGGTACGTTTTCTCGTTCATCAAGGTACAAACAGTGTAAATGTTCCCTCAAAGGTTCAACAGTGGTTTTAGGGTCTGATTGTGAACCTTAAATAAGTTTTTCCAGGTGAAAAGTTTGTATTTGTATCTTTTCATAACCGAATGTTTTAAAACAGAACAGTAAAATAAAAGCCTGGAGGCGAGACGGGGTGTGTGGAGTCAGTACAGCTTAGAACATATCATTTCAGTGGATTATGGTTCAGTTATGTTCCCTGACTGAAGGAGCTGAGATGGAGCCTTGAGGGTCCCACCCCAGTGAGAAGAGGGGGACTGCCCCAGTGACAGTTTAGGACCTTTATTTCTGAGAGTGTATAACAAAAGTATGCCTCGCTGTGATCTGTGATCAGAAGAGGAGATATTCTATTAGGATTTAAATTTGATTTGCCATTTTTTGTCATGGAAATAAGTCGGAAAGTCAGAATTGCAGGATATATCTGTCAAATCAAATTTAAATGTACTATCTAATGCCAAAGGTCCACCTCTGGTCAGAGTACACATTTTGATTATCTATGTGAAAATAAGTGAACACATCATCTAACCTAGTGTGGATTTCAGTGTTCAGTTTAGTGTTTCAGTGTTGCTGGAAAAAATGAGCAAATAAAAATGAAATAAAACCATTAATTTAAAATATGAATTCAATTAAAACTGTGTTTGTATTTAAATAGTACAGCAAAATGACAAAAGGTCTGAATTTCTAACAGCTGAACAGCGGAGCAAGTGTCTGTCTCTGTTGTAGTGAGACAGCAATTACTCAATCTCTAACACACACACACTCTCTCTGTCTCTCTCTCTGTCTCTCTGTCTGTCTCTCGATATAGACAGACAGACAGAAAGATAAACAGATAGATAGACAGATAGACAGATAGATAGATAGATAGATAGATAGATAGACACACAGATAGATAGGCAGACAGTCTGATTGATAGACAGATCTGATTACTGAGCTAAAATCCAGCCTATTTATCAGATGTGTAGAAATCTGATTAAGAAATCTGATAAAGAGGCTGGATTTTAGCTCAGTAATCAGATTTCTCAGTGCATGTAAACTCTTATTCTTAGAGACCCAACTACAACAGCCGCCCCACCAAAACCACCCACCCCCACCCTCCCCAATGCAGGACCGCAGCCCCCCTGCACTGCAGGACGCAGTGCAGTTTCTCTCTGGAATTTAAAAAAATTATGAAAAAAATAAAGAAATGAAAAATAATATAATAAATTGTGTTCAAACAATATTAATAAGTTAAAAAAATTACTAAACTAACAGAACTAAGAACTGCTTCTCGTTCTTGAGCGCCACTCTTTAGCCATTCAGCCTTCGTGTGAGGTGAATCATTTCATGCATCAGAACTGAGCCACCGTCCTCAGCTCGCCTCCCGCAGCTGGTTTTAGAGCAGTGCAGGTTTATTCTTGCTACACCTGAAGCTCAAAGGGATCTTGTGGTGTGAGCTAGCGTGAGAAACGGCCTCGATTTGGTCTCTCAGAAAACCTATTTACTGTCTGACCAGAACACACAGGTCAAAAAACAGAAGCCGTTCTTAATTTGCGAGAACTGAGCGTGTTTGTGTAGATGCCACGGCCCTCAGGTGCACAATCTGACGCTGGCCTGGACGATGTCTGAGTAAATCTGACTGCTGTACAATCTCCAGATGTACGTTTCAGCATGTTCTTCTACTTTTTAAAGGAACAGTTGGATGAAAATCTTTTGCTTTTTTAATTTTAACACTGAATAATGATCAACCCAACGGTTAATATGTAAACAGAGTCATTCAGAGTGGTTTGGTGTGAAACGTTCTGTTCTAGAGAAATTTACCGAGTCAGAACTGTTCACAGTGGTGGTGATAGGAACCAGACGTCCACCTCTAAAAGCTCCCTCACAGAAAGTTACTACATGAAATGGTTATGAATTCACTGCCCGATGACTGAGACACTGTTTATGATAGTTTTTAGAGCAGTGCAGGCTCAGATTCATGGTGGAAGGATACGTGCAGGGTGTTGCAAAGCAAAACAGCCCCCGAAAACACAATATTTCACACTATTTCACACCAAACCTCTCTGAGTCACTCTGTTTACATCTCAAACACTGAGTTATGGAGGATTTTACAAAAAAAAAACCTTTTAAGTAGAAATTACTGATGGATGTGTACTTTCCTGAGTATTTTGACTGAATGATGACTTTTACTTCTACTCATATACACTATATGTTAGTCATTAACATTAAGTTCCTAATTCTCTTGTTTGGGTTTAATTTCACTCTGCTGTGCTGGTTCAGCGCCTCTTTATGGTTGATCTCTCCTCTCACTTTAGAGCTCATTTTATTTTAGACCAAAAGGATCCAAAAAAGAGGAAAAACAGAGACTAACAGACTTCAGTTCCTGAGATTATAGATGCTGGACGTACTAAGAGGTTCCACTGCAGTTCTATATGTAGAGCTGCTATTTTTGTACTGTTACTCAAGTTGTTGGTATTTTACTGTGGTCACTATTTCACTGCAGCAACAATCCTAGTGGAAGATGAGCTTGGCTACTCTTCATCACGCTGGGTGTGAGTTTGAGAGATGTCTCTTACCCACTGAGTGGATCCTCTGGAGTTCCTGGAGCTGTCGTCCTCCTCGCTGACCTCTGGCTCGTCTCCTTCACTCGGAGGACCCTCCCGTATGACCACCCTCTCTACAACCACAAAAACATCACAAGAGCGGTCATCCACCCAGCGGAATGTACATTTATAACTTTAGCTCTTAGCTTCCTCCTAATCCGAAGGATCATTTCTGTTTGAGTGCTTCATTCTCTTTATTATAATTTGAAGATGATGGTTACAGTTGCATAGCTACAATAAGATATTGAGCTTCCTGGCTAGAAAAACCAGCATAGGTCAGCATGACTGGTCACCAGCAAAACCAGCATATCGCTGCTTTCAGAAGAAAACCTCATATCGCCACAAAGGTAACTTTACAGGAGAAGGAAAAAACCTACTTTACTTTTAATGTAAGTCAATGGAACCAGACTTTTTACCAAGTAATTCTGGGTCGTTTCTTTTGATTCATTCATCATGAAATTTACACACAATATAAAGGACAACAGGTATTTACAAACTATGTCAAAAACTGAAAAATGGCGGAGACACTGGGCTTTCTCTGACAGCAGCGATATGTTGTATTTTGGATGCTGGTATGCTGGTCAGCCAGCACGACCATGCTAGACCAGCTAGACCAGCACCAGACAGAAGGTTTTCCTGGTCTTTAAACCTGAAAATCTCACTCTACAGACAAGTCAAGTCAAGGTTTATTTGTTTAGCGCTTTTCAAAACAGGCATTAAAAAATCCAGGTCCGAGCCCCCATGAGCGGCACCAGTGGCGACAGTGGCAAGGAAAAACTCCCTAAGAGAAACAGGAAGAAACACTGAGAGGAACCAAGACTCAAAAGGGGAACCCATCCTCCTCTGGACCACACCGGATAGCAAACAGTAACAATAACAGACTACAGTAGCGCCGCTGTTGGACGCCAGTAAGCATGCTTATAACTGATGTAGTAATGACTACATTTTCCATTTTGGACAGACTGCACATTTAATACATTTCTTAAAATATAGGCAAAAATAAAATGTACACAATTCCCACCCCCTTACTCCAAATGAGGTTGATCAGCCATGGAAGTTTGAACCAGCATCATGCTAACTGCATTCCAAAATCATCACACACTGTCCTCAAACTGTGTTGTAAACCACATCGGCCCACCTGTGTAACCCGAAATAAGACCTGAATACGGGTTGAGAAAAGTTTTGGGGATGTATTTGTATAGAAATCATTTGGGCTATTTGGGTGACTATTGGGCTCGAGTGTTTGTTAGCAATGTTAGCCTCAGTTCCAAACTAAATAGCTGCAATTCTAAACTAAAGAAGCAAGATTTGGACTCCAAATGTTATGTCTGATCGACTGCATTTGGAGTAAGTAGAAAATCATATCAATTTACTTTTTTGCCAAACGTTTCTGTTGAAGGGAAAGTCCACTGATTTTCCAAAATTTCTATACAATTAAATCATCAAAATGTAAACAAAGTCATTCAGAGTGGTTAGAATTGTTGATGACAGGAACCAGACGTCTCAAGTGTTGAATGCCTCTAAAAGCCCCCTCGCGAAAAGGTAGTAAATGAAATGGTAATGGACGCATTGACAGAAGCCCAAAACTTTGTTTTACAATAGTTCTGAGATCTACTTTCGGGGTAAAGCATACTTTTCTATATCTGTTCATGGTGGAGAGGCACATGAAGGGCACTGTAAGGCAAAAAACTTCCCAAAGAAAAGGTATCTTTTCTGATTACCTACTATTTTACCATTCTCAAGCTTATACATATAATAACTCAGACACATTTAGGTTCACTGGTGGTTTTGGGTGGCTCTATTTGTGTTACCCCTGGTTGCCAGCACCACCGAACTGGTAGGTTTCTCTAAAACAAACAATTTAATTTCAAACCACTCTGAATGACGTATTTACATCTCAATGATTTAATAATACAGAAATTTTAAAACATTGGTGGAATTCCCCTTTAAGGTAGACTTCAAGTGTTTAGTTTAGTAAATAGACTTCATTATGTGGTTTTCCGACACTGTATGACTCACTGTTATCTGTAAACACTGACTAAAGTACAGGCAAAATTCAGGCTGAGATGGTCGCTACTACTGTTTTTAGCTATGTGACGCACTTTTGACCATTTTTGATGATTAGCCTTGTAGCTCTTGTGCCAAAACTAAAATCAAGACTGTGTTCTCCAAAATAAAAGTCCCTAAGTGGAGTTTCATCAATATAGAACCTTTAGAAAGTTCTTATGCAGTAAAAAAGCAGTTTCTTTACATTTTAGTGAGAAGTTCAGGAGCAGCATATTAAAAAAATGCTCTACAGCGTTTTTGATAATGCATAAAGTGTGATAAGATCAAAGGAATGATATCTACTCAAAAAATCTTTTGGTTAGAGATAGATAATTACATAAGTAGACTGTATTTGTTTTGAAATTGGACAGTAGCCCTGCCTTCCTTGGCTACTGTTGCTTTCAGTCTTCTATGGCAAAATCCTCAGTAAGAAAGGAGCAGACAGAAGGTCAGTGGTGGACGGTAACTAAGTAAATGTAATCAGTTTCTGTACTTAAGTAGTTTTTTCGTGTATCTGTACTTTACTGAAGTTTTTCCATTTTGGGTGACTTTTTACTTTCACTCCACTACATTTCAAAGTCAAATATCTCACTTTTTACTCCACTACATTCTGAGAAATCTGTCGTTCCTTTTGGTTTATGTGTGTATAAAAACGTAACATGTCAAAACGAAAGACGCGCAAAGCAAGAACACCAATCAGGGCACAGCGCGCACTTTGTTTTGAGCTTGTTTTGACCTGTTGGTCATACTGACCCAGTGCAGCACACGGTTCAACATCAGTGCAGCAGCGTAAAGTTTTGGGAGAGTCTGTTCAACATAAATGATGAACTAACCTAACTTTGTGTAAACAGACCACAATATAGAAATATGTACTCATATGCAGTTGTGACTGACGTGTCTTTATTCTGAATTTATACAAACACATTTCATTTTATAGTAAATTAGTTTAGTCTAGTTTATGTTTATGAACAGAGACCTACAGATGCAGTTTAGTAAAGGAAACTCATTTGTGAACCTGAGTTTAAAGTTTTTACTAAACTTAAACTTGTAACTAAGTTCAAATAAATCTTAAACTGAAACTTTGCTTGTTTGTAAAAAGTGATTTCAGAGCCACTCAGTTCTACCTGATGGAAACTGTTGGCCTTCAGTGTTTTGTGCTTATGATAATTTTAATAGACATCAGCGTCACTAATTAATGACATTCTATTAAAAGACTGGTTTACCAAGAGAGACACTGGAGTATTTTCACCTATAATGAGTTAATGAAGCGAGTCTTGTTATAAAAATGATAACAGGACATTAAAGCCATAATTAATCTTTTAGTACTTTACTTTTGATACTTAAGTACATTTGAAGGCAAATACTTTAGTACTTTTACTCAAGTGGAGGTCTAAAGGGAGGAACTTCTACTTTTACTGGAGTAATATTTTACCTTGGGTATCTCTACTTTAACTCAAGTACATGGTTTGAGTACTTCGTCCACCACTGCAGAAGGTTCTTCAACACGTGTAACACTGTGATCTTGCAATTATTTGATGTTTCTTGTTGTTTGATGTAACATGTAGCTCCTCTCCCTACATGCTTTATGTTGTCTATAGGAGGTGCAGCTTTAGTGTAAGAATGAGTATATTCTGTATCCTCAATACATCTGACGGTAAACTGGACTGTACCTGGTTTTCTGCAGGTTCTCCACACAGCCAGAGACACACAGAGGAATATCAGAGCCAGAGCGCCGGACACGGACACCTCCACCACCGGCAGTTTTGAAGGTAAGGGTCCTGTCGGTGTAAGAGCTGGAGTCTGCGTGGTTGGACTCTGTGCAGACTCATTGGCTTTACACTCTGTAAGTTGAAGATAAAACAATTATTCTCATTTAAAATGCTGTCATTTTATTGTCCCAAACTTTTGCAAAAAAAGAAAATATACCACATTTTTTAGCGCATCAATGTTGATAAACCATTCATTAATACACTATGTTTATAGTCCAGCCCTACAGGGCCACAGTACTACATGATTTAGTGTTTGCTCTTGATTTCTGTGACTGAATTGTTTCTGAGTCAACAAAAAAAAAAAAACAGTTGAATACTTTATGTCACTTATTTGGACATTTTAATTTTTTTATTCCCATACAGTGATACTGGTATTATGATAGACTCAATATCACTATGTTTTCCCTCAAACAGAATCCAGCCCAAAAGGGCCACTGCGCATCATCGGTTCCTTCATGAGCTGATCAGGTTTGTTCACTGCTGTGGGTATCTGACACTGAGATTTCCATAAACATCACATCACCGACCAATCTGAGAGAATAGCTCCCTCTATATTATTTAATAAGGCAACACCTAAAGGGGAGATTAAGATGTAATCAGAGTTATTCAGAGCAGTTTGGTGTGAAACACTCAGTTCTAGAGAAACTTACCGAGTCAGAACTGTTCACGGTGGTGGTGATAGGAACCAGACGTCCACCTCTAAAAGCTCCCTCACAGAAAGTTACTACATGAAATGGTTATGAATTCACTGCCTGATGTCTGAGACGCTGTTTTACAGCAGTTTTGAGAAGATTTTGGCCTTAAACTCCATTCATAGTGGAGGGATACATAATATGCAGGGCGCTGTGAGGCAAAATAGTCCCCAAAGAAAACTTATTATTTCAGATTTACTATTTCTCCATCATCAACATTCCATATAAACTCAGAAGACTCGTGTAGGTTCACTGGTGGTTCTGGATAGTAAATAAAATGTCTATATTTGTGTTGTAGTCATGGCGACCCCTGGTTCCTATCACCACCACTGTAAAGACATCTGAACCATTTCACACCAAACCACTCTGAATCTCTCTGTTTACATCTCACACACTGAGTTATGGAGGAATTTCGAAAAATGGGTTGAACTGGGTTTTATGAGTAAAAGAAATATTTTTTTCTACCAGGAAATGGGATCAAATAGGAAGTAACCAGCATTTCTACATAACAGCACCAATAAAGTATGCAGCGGTGACAAAATCCATCTTAGTAAAGCCACAACATCAACTTATCAGCTCATCATCATCATGCAGGAGCTCAGTGAGGTTTGTTCTGCAGTGCTGCGGTAGAGCGAGGATTACTTTGAACACTCTCTGTAATTGTTAATATATTCTTAACGCTAAAACATTAATATTCCTTAACGTTAATATTAATGTGGAGGAAAAGAACATTAATCCAGAGTGATATGCATAACCCTACAAAACGATTTGAAAGATATCACTAGTTATCAGCCTGTAAACAGGTAACACATATAAATTTAGTATATTGTTGCTGTTGGAACCAAACCTTGTACGTCTCAAAAAAGAGTAACTTGACTTTTAGTGGAAGTTAAAATTACAATATTTTATTCTACATCATTTTAGACAATTTCTATTGATCCACTTGGCGAGGAATTTTGACATGGTGTTAACAGCAGCAAGCATTTGTAAAAAAAAATGGCAAAAATGAAGATTGTTCCAACAGGTGTTGATATACTTTTGATATTTTTGAAAATACGTATAAATGGAACACATACTCATTTATTAAAAATACGTGACAGTGATGTCATTTATGTTTTTTAAAGTCAGTCCAGGCCTGTTTTATTGATATCCTGCTCTAATATGTCCGTTTTGAACGTGATGAAGGGATGTTATTGAGCTGAGGAGGTGAAGCAGACATGTTAGAAGAGGAGAACACTACATTGTGCAGTGCAGCATTTGGAAATATAAATCTGAATAGTAATCAATAACTTACTAATTTCTTCCGTGAATTCTACAGTCGTCCCTATTCCTTTTCTAATAACCAGCACTGGTACGTCTTGCGTAACTTCACAGATATAGAGCCCTGTATGATTTGTACAGGGGCTTTTTATAGACAACACTGTGCAGTTACTCTGTATTCCTGTATGAAGGCGTTTATCACTCCAGACTCCAGTGTGTTGATCATCTTTTAACCATCTCACTTTCACTCCAGGGATGCTTTTATCCCAGCAGCAGGTGATGGTAACAGAGCCTCCATCCTTCACTGTGAGTGCAGACGGAGTCTGAGTTACAGTAAAATCTGCACTCGAATCTACAGAAAGAACAGAAGGACACACAGAGATATTAATATCAGAGATATTAATACAGAGAAAACAACATAAAAAACACTTAAAATACAAAAAGTACAAAGAAAGATGGGAAAAATGATCTAAACAACATTGTGAAAGTGAAGAAAGAGCAAAATGGTCTGAGAAGTCATGAAACGATGCAAAAAATATTAAATGGAAATAAGCGCTCGGTCATAATAAGTCAAATATTAAATGAAAATAAGCGCTCGGGGGGACATCTCTCCTTCGCTTTTTGTTTTTTTGTTCATTTTTGGATGATTATCACAAAAAGTACAACATTACTAATGACATATTTTAGGGTGTGACTTCATAATATCACACCAGTGATTTCACTCTGTCACTGTACCTGATTACAGTCTGTCAGTTACTCATATGAGGACATATTTCTGACTGTAACTGTCTTTATTCAGCTTATTAAGCAGAAACGTCACTTTGTCCAGAGCAGCGTTGTGAAGCTGATTGAAGCCAAACAGACAGTTTCACTTTGTTACAGTCAGCAATGTGGTGTTGTGACTACAGCTGGGCCAGATGACTGTATTTATCATTATTGTGATAAAATACATCATAAAACGTCACAAAATGCTTTTCTGAGTATAGTGTGGATCTTGTCAGCACTTCAAAAACTCCTCCCAACTGAGCGTTTCATTACAGAGAGAGCATAATCAGGCCTGCACTGGATTTAATGCACCACAGTGAGTGGACAAATAATTGAATTCGTAATTTTTGATAGTGTTTCTTATTGTGGCACCACTTTATCTGTCCCAACTTATCAGATGTCAGAAAAATGATATTGTGCCATATCAAAAACTTTTTGAAGTATAGTGAAATTATGTTTTTGTCATATTAGTCACACAGTTAGGAAATTCATCAATCTGCACCAAAAGGTTTTTTTTTTAATGTGCATTAAACGCATCAAAATCCAGAATTGAAGCTCTGACCTGCCCTGCCTTCATACACTACACTGTTTTCACTTATTTACTGTACTATAATTATTTATAATCATACAGTATTCATTTATAATGCTTCCCTTTTCTTACTGTCACATTCAGTGTTATGAAAGTATTTTTTCCTTAAATATTTATTGTAACATGCAGATTAAAGAATATATTTCAGTGTATTTCAGTCACAGACAGTAGAATAAAAGCCAACAAAAGTAATAAAGGGCAAGAAACTGACAGACTGCGTGTGCATCAGAAAAATGCATGACATTAGTTCATTTTAATGTTGTTAATAATGTTAGTTTACAAGCCATAAGACAAAAAAAGCAGGAGAGCCACTCCTCAGATTAAATGTGCGCCCCTGACTGGAACATCGTGAGGTCAATTCAGCCCCTCAGAGTGAAAACTAATAAAATAATAAAAACTAATACAGTAAAATAGTCCTGAGGTCAGTCGGAGAAAACGCTCTACAGTCACCTGTGATAGAAAACAGGCCGACAGTGGACACACGCTGAAAACGGACTGACAATAATTCTCTTAGTAGATTTGGTTAAATTTGAACCTGCAGTCGCATTAAGAGCAACAAAGAGTCAGCACACAGTCTTATGCAAAAGTTTTGGCGCCCCTGCTCAAACTCCACGTTGTTGTTGATTTGCTAAATACGTAAACACAGCCCTCTACAGAGACTCACTTTAATACAAAAATACTGTTTAATTACTGAGTTTAACACATCGGGGAAAAAATAAAACAGAAAAATATGGCCTGTACAAAATTTTATAGCACTTTTTACATCATTTTATTTATTTATTTATTTATTTATTTATTCCTTTATTTGATAAACTATAAATTTTGCAGTGAAATTTCATATTTGAGTGGCTCTCTGTGGAGGATGCGTTAACTTATCTACACTTACAGAATTAACAAAACGTAATTTGAGCAGGGGTATCCAAACTTTCGCACACGACTGCATATTCATTTGGGTATTTTTATCTTCAACACTCAGTTTCAGGATCATCAGAGCGTCTTCTGTGGAATGAAGAGCAGTGTTTTGTCCTGATGATTAGACGGTTTTCTTATCAGACTAAGTGTTAAAGCTCACAGTGAAACTCTTTTGATCTAAAGGTCAGACTGAAGGTGCTACATTCGCCAGACGCAGACTTAGTGGAAATTAAAACTCAGAAAAAATGCCACATTGAAGCGTCTCTGTAGAGGGTGTGTTCACTTATTTACAGTTAGAGGCACAAACCTTTGTGTACGACTGTAGGTGTGAGCCGACACCCTCATTTAGAAGGTTTTTAACATTAAAATCATTTGCAGCAGCAGCAGTTTGTCCAGGTCTGATTCACTTTACTGTGATATATTCACAATCATACTAAACACTTCACACACAATCAGAACTATTTTTACTGTATTTAACACTTAAACAGCCTCTCACAGTTTAATACACACAAACACAAAGGCAGACAGAGAGAGAGAGAGAGAGAGAGAGAGAGAGAGAGACAGTCAGGCTGTTCTCTCAGATGAGCTGACAGAACAAAAAGTCTCTGACGTTGAATCATCTGCAAGATAAGGTTGAGCAGCAGATGTGTTACATTTAATAGGGACACAGATTCATCATTTCTCCACAGTTTTGGAGGTTATATGACTGTATTAGTCTGGGATGCACGAGATCTGGGGCTGGATTCATGAAAGTGTCTTAGAAAGAAAATCGTCTTAAATGTGTTTTTTTAACTTCATCCTTAAGAAAAAAGTTATGAGAAATTGTTATTCTTCAAAAAACGTCTTAAGAATTCTCTCATTTTCTGTTCTTAACTATTTTCTTAAGAATATTTCTAAGAACAAGTGGTTTTCTTGAATGTATTACGTTCTTAAATGTTTTCTTAACCTCACGACAGACTCTCACTCGTCTCAGGCTGTAAGAGTCGACAAGCTGAGTGTCTAAATGTATCAGTTTATCTGTTCCTGCTCGTCCTCGTCTCTCGCTTTCTGCTGTCACCCCACAATTACTATGTTTTCCAGAGAGGATTTTTTCCTGTTGGCTGTTTCTTCCATCATCACCTCTAGTTCTTATTTGCTCACATTGTTTTAAACACTTGGCTTTGTTTTTCCTCCATTTTGCTCCTCTGAGTGGATTAAACTAAATAACGGAAATAACCGTTCATACATATTTAATCTGTATCTCGGGTCGTTTATGAAACGTGGCAAAATGTAGCACAGCAAATATAAGAAAACAATGAAGATTATCTTAAGGAAATGATTAGGTTGTCGTAAAAGAATATTTGAGAACTTCTTAAGTTTTTCAAGAATCGCTTTTAAGAACATTTTTATGAACTTCGTAGTGTTTGTCTGAAGAAACTTCACAGGTTTTTTCTTAAGAAAGCCTTCCTGAATCCGGTCCTGAACTCGAAATATTACAGCTCAGCACTACTCGATTTCCTGGCGAGTGGCGCTCTGCTGTCTTGGGTCGTTTCTGACGTGTACAGGGTCAGATAAATAAATATATCATTTCTGTTATGTAGAACTTCACCCCCACTCCTCCACACACACACACACACACACACACACACACACCTGATTACCTTTCAGTCTGAAAGGTCAAATAAAACACAACATGAAAACAAATCTAAACACGACAGGGGTGCCTGTATTGGATCAGGGGCTGCATTCACGGAAGCTTCTTAAGAAAGGTAACACTTTCTATGAAGGTCACCTTTATAAGCATCTATAAACACATTCATAACATGTTATAATGCATTCATAAGGCATTATAAACATGGCCACAAATATTTATAAAAATGCATTACACGTTATTGCCATGTTTATTATGCATTATGAATGGTTAACATAATACATTATAAGTACTGATCATATCAAATTATAAGAGCTCATAAGTGGTATTTGTCCGCTCTAAGTAAAGTGAAGCGTACTGTACTAAAGCCTCCTCCAGTGTTCAGAGTGAGGCTTCAAGTTGAAGTATTTACTGAAGGATTTACTGAAACACTAAAACATTCACAGTAAAGCACATTACAGGCTTCAAATGTCAGAGTTTAAACTAGAGCTGCCATCAGTGTTTTACCCAATGTGGGAAAGGTAATGTACACCACCGTTAGCTTGGTATTTGTCTTTACGCTCTCCAAGCTGGGACTGACTTCTTTGGCACTGACATTATAACATGTTATTAACACTATTTATAATGCATTATATTAACAATTCATAATGTATAATAAACATGGCTATAAAGTGTAATTTAGTGTAATTCATTTTTATAAATGTTTATAATCATGTTTATAATGCCATATGAAGGCATTATAACATGTTATAAATGTGTTTATAGATGCTTACAAGCGTGACATTCATAGAAAGTGTTACCGAAAAAACTTGCGAAGGATCTTAAGACAAACTCTAAAAGGTTCATACACTGTTAGTAATAAAGGTTCTGTGTCAGGTACATTTTTAATTCATCAAGGTACAAACAGTGTAAATGTTCCCTCAAAGCTCCAACAGTGGTTTTAAGGTCTGATTGTGAACCTTAAATAAGTTTTTCCAGGTTAAAAGTTCATATTTGTACCTTTTCATAACCGAATGTTTTAAAACAGAACAGTAAAATAAAGTCCTGGAGGCGAGGCGGGGTGTGTGGAGTCAGAACAGCTTAGAACATATTATTTCAGTGGATTTTCTTAAGAAAATCTGCATTGTTTTCTTATGTGGGCTGTGTTGCATTTTACTATATACCATAAACGACACCAGATACATGTTGAATTTGTTTTGACTGGTATTTGAGTTATTTAGTTTAATCCGCTCAGAGGAGCAAAATGGAGGAAAAACATCAAACCAAGTGTTCAAAATTAGCAAACAAGATCTAGAGTTGATGGATGAAGAAACCGCTAACAGGAAAAAATCCTCCTTAAAAATCAAAAAATTTTGGGGTGACAGACGAGGACAGGCAGGACCGGCAGAGGCAGTGTCAGTGTTTGATAAATTTAGACGCTGACCTCGTCAACTCTCACAGCCTGAGACGAGAAATCTGTGTGGCATTTAGTGACATTACAATATGTTTATATTATAGATATGAAGTGAGTGAAACCATTGGGGCAAAATAAGGGGGGCCGGGGGGACGTGTCCCCTCCACTTTTTGTTTTTTTGTTCGTTTTTGGATGATTATCACAAAAAGTACAACATTACTAATGACATATTTTAGGGTGTGACTTCATAATATCACACCAGTGATTTCACTCTGTCACTGTACCTGATTACAGTCTGTCAGTTACTCATATGAGGACATATTTCTGACTGTAACTGTCTTTATTTCATTACAGAGAGAGCATAATCAGGCCTGCACTGGATTTAATGCACCACAGTGAGTGGACAAATAATTGAATTCGTAATTTTTGATAGTGTTTCTTAATGTAGCACCACTTTATCTGTCCCAACTTATCAGATGTCAGAAAAATGATATTGTGCCCTATCAAAAACTTTTTGAAGTATAGTGAAATTATATTTCTGTCATATTAGTCACACAGTTAGGAAATTCACAAAATTTGCACTGATTTTGCATTAAATGAATCAGAATCCAGGCATGAAGCTCTGACCTGCCCTGCCTTCATATATTACACTGTTTTTGTAATATATGGAGTTTGATAAATTTAGACGCTGACCTCGTCAACTCTCACAGCCTGAGACGAGTGTGAGGCTGTCGCAAGGTCAAAAACACATTTAAGAACATAATATCTTTAAGAAAACCACTTATTCTTAGAAAACGGTTAAGAAAATAAAATAAGAAAATTCTTAAGAAGTTCTCGTAACTTTTCTTGTAATTTCTTGTAACTTTTTTCTTAAGAATAAAATTGAAAAAACACAAATTTAAGACGATTTTCTTTCTTAAGACACTTTCATGAATCCGGCCCCAGATTTCTTCTATCCCAGACTAATATGACTGTTTAACCTCAAAACTGTGGAGAAACCTAACTTTATACTTGTGAACTGCGTGGCTTAGCATGTTTCTAACAAAGCCGTGTGTCTCACTTTCACTGACACCAGATAATAAACTGACGTGATTTCAGCTGTGTAATGTAGAAATCATTAAGGTTGCAAAAAATTATCATAAATTATATCATCATCAAAAAGACAGGGCTGTTCTGAAGGCTCTGAAGCTTCTTTACCGTCCCAAACTTGTTTAAGCAGCTCTAACTGGTGTTTCATACAGCCTGCACTCTAAAGCAGCTTCCTAAATGGCTTGAATTGAACGTACGGTTCTGGGAAAAGCCTGTCATTGGTTTAGAACGTTTACATTATGTGTAATATTTTTAAATAACTGTGAAAAACACTCATTTGCAAGGATATTTTTCAAGGAACCAACTATTTAAAGGTTCCTTTGGGAAAGGAGGTTCTTCTTGTTTTCTATATTAATTACAATCTGTGGGTTTTATATGAATCAGATACCAGATTTGGGCAAAAACAAGAATCTGTTTGGTATTAACATTAATATTAAAGGGGAAAAGCAGTAATTTTGTTGCTCTTAAAAGGTACCAACTTTTAATATTTCTGCACAATGACAGTCATTCAGAGTGTTTTAGTGTGAAATGTTATGTTCTAGACAAACTTCAAAGAATTCTAGAGAATCGTTCACAGTGGTGGTGATAGGAACCAGACATCCGCCTCTAAAAGCTCCTTCACAGAAAGTTACTACATGAAATGGTTATGAATTCACTGCCTGATGACTGAGACGCTGTTTTACGATAGTTTTGAGAAGATTTTGGCCTTAAACTCCATTCATGGTGGAGGGATACATGATATGCGGGGTGTTGTGAGGCAAAATAGTCCCCAAAGAAAACTTATTATTTCAGACTTATCACTATTTTACCATCATCAATGTTCCATATAAACTCAGAAGACTCGTGTAGGTTCACTGGTGGTTCTGGATAGTAAATAAAATGTCTATATTTGTGTTGTAGTCATGGCGACCCCTGGTTCCTATCACCACCACTGTAAAGACATCTGAACCATTTCACACCAAACCACTCTGAATCACTCTAAATCTCAACTAGGGACAGATTAGTGACCAGAGCACTGGGGTCGATGCCTTGGGGCCCCTCAGACTACAAAGCCAGAGCTACAAAGACATTTGCAGGCCTCGGAACACCATTAGGCCTGATTTTATGACTGAATTATGCAGCAGAAAGTTTGAATAATCAGCAGATTCCACACTGTTCCACAATACAACACAGAGAGAATAAATAAGGCATGTGTGATGGTTTTGAGCTGATATTGTTCAGAGTTTCTGAAGAGTGTGTGTGTTTTTGGACTCACCTGAAGAAGAACAGCTGCAGAAAACCAAAAGGCCCCAGAGCAGAATAGCGAAAGGCTGCATCTCTGAACGCCTGAACACTCTGAACACCTTCCTCATTTTGTCTTGACATTTCCTCGCTCACTGTGTGGCCTCAGAGTCAACCACAAACTTTCCGCTGTCTCTGCACACGCAATGAAGAGTACACTCACCACACTGACACAGGAGCATGGAGCTGATTCTCACGGTCAGAACAGAGTCGTGTATCTTCAACATTCACTCCAAGTCATGTTTAACCACGTCTTTTGGTCCATTTCTTATAAATGTGTGAATGGCAGCTGGCATTTTCAAAGAAATAGGGAGCTAGACTCTTAAAAAAGATGGTTCTTTAAGGGTTCTTTAGTGAAGAAAATGGTTCTATAAATAAGCATGACTACTCAAAAAAACATCTGCATGATTGAAGGGTTGTTTGCATCTTGAAAAGGTTCTTCAGATTGATGCAGAATGTGCTGTAGATGGTTCTATATAGCACCTTTTTGAAATTTGCTCTATATAGCAGCAGAAAGGTTCTTCAATTGTTATGATGTCAAGCTTGCAACAATAGATGAACCCCTTTGGGGTGCCATGTAGAACCCTTTTCTAAAAGGTTAACTTTTTACTTAATTAGTAAGAGTAGTAGAATATAAGTAAATAGAACCAGGACTTGTTTCTTAATGATTTTGGATTGTCTTTATCAGTTTGTCAGTTTGTTCAGAATGATGTTTGAACACAATTCAAAGGGTTACTGGACTTTTGAAACTATGCAAAAGAAAGGGAAAAATACTGATACAAAGTTTATATATATATATATATATATATATATATATATGTATATATATATATATATATATCATTACTGTCAAGCAAAAACATATATATACATGTATATATTAGTATTATTTATGTGTATATGTGTATAGATGTAATAGAAACAGTTCTACATTAAGAACACTTTGTCACATTGACTTACACTGAGAGTTAAGAATGTTTTTTCCCTTTTCCTGTAAAGTTTATATTTTATATAAACATGAAGTTTCATTCTATATACAACTTCATTTTCAAAAAAGTTGAGACGCTGTGCAAAATGTAAATACAAACAAAATTCAATGATGTGCAAATCATTTAAACCCTATATTTCATTGAAAATAGAACAAAGACAACAAATCAAATGTTGAAACTGAGAAATTTTGTTGTTTTTTGAAAAATATTTGCCCATTTTAAATTTGATGCCAACAACATTTTCCAAAAAAGTTGGGACGGGGGCCTGTTTACCTCTGTATTTCATCACCCCTTCTTTTAACAACACTCTGGGAACTGAGGAGACACTGCTGTAGTTTTGAAAGTGCAATGTTTTCTCGTTCTTGTTTGATGCAGGATTTCAGGTGCTCATTATTTCGGGGGCTCACTTGTTGTATTTTTCATTTTATAATGAAATAATATTTTAATATGGAGCCATGCTGTTGTAATACATGCAGAATGTGGTTTGACATTGTCTTCCTGAAGTAATCAAGGCCTTCCCTGAAAAAGACGTTGTCTGGATGGCAGCATATGTTGCCAAAGTATGTATATATCGTTCAGCATTAATGGAACCTTCACAGATGTGCACGTCACCCATACCATGTGCACTAATGCCCCCTATACCATCATGAATACTGGCTTTTGAACTGTGCACTGATAACAAGCTGAGTGGTCTTTAGCCTGGAGGACACAGTGTCTATGATTTCCAAAAAGAATTTCAAATGTTGATTTGTCGGACCACAGGACACTTTTCCACTTCCCCTCAGTCCATTTTAAATGAGCTCAGGCCCAGAGAAGGTGGCAGCATTTCTGGATCCTGTTTATATGTGTTTTTTTTTTCTTTGTGTTTTAGAGTTTAACTTGCATTTGTGGATGCAGTGATGAACTGTTTTCACAGACAGTGTTTTTCAGAAGTGTTTCTGAGTCCATGCAGTGATTTCCTCTACAGAATCATGTCTGTTTTTAATGCAGTGCTGCCTGAAGACCCAAAGATCACAGCCAGCAAATACTGGTTTTTGGTCTTGTCCCTTACATACAGAGATTTTTCCAGACTCTCTGAATCTTTTAATGATATTATGTACCGTAGATGATGAAAAGCAAAAGTCTTTGCTTTTTTATGTTGAGAAACGTTATTCTTGAATTGTTGCACTATTTGATGGTGCAGTCTTTCACAGAGTGGTGAACCCCTCCTCATCTTTACTTCTGAAAGACTCTGCCTCTCTGTGATACTCTTTTTATACCCACTCATGTTACTGACCAATTAACCACCAGGGGCCTTATTACAGAAACTTCCTATCTTTTTGTCTTAACTTAAGATCTGACAAGTCAAGATAAGATTTTTCACAAATTTGTATTACAGAAGCAAATCTTATCTTAATTTAAGAATCTTATCTTATCTTACAGCATCTTATCTTAAATAAATAATAACAAATAAATAATTAAACTAAAGCTTGATAAACTGAAAGTTAAGAATACTGTGTCAGCGCTTCGTGCTGTTTTTGTAAAGCATTGCCGCTCTACAGTTTCAGTTTCATTTACACACTTGTTTTTTTAAGCATTACACAACTTTACCAGCCTTTTGTTGCCCCCGTCCCAACTTTTTTGGAACGTGTTGCTGGTAAAATGGGCATATATTTTTCAAAAAACAATAACATTTCTCAGTTTCAACATTTGATATGTTGTCTTTGAAGCTTTTTTAATGACACATAGGATTTAAATGATTTGCATATCATCGCATTTTGTTTTTATTTACATTTTTCACAGCATTCCAACTCTTTTGGAAATGGGGTTGTATAATGAGAAGTGGACAGGCCCTAATATAGATCCTTGAGGGACACCCTAGCAAATTGTGACAACCACAGGTGGGAAATTCAGGTCCTGTGAGTAAACATCCTTCTGTAGTTAGCTTAACCCACCAGCAGAGGGGTGCAGACAGTTGGAAGGGGAGGACTTTTACTTTCTGGACCTGATTTTACTACTTCTGGTGGCAACAGTAGAAAACAGAAAATTTAACCAGTACAGCACTGCCCCCTGCAGGCCAATCCAGCACTCAAGGCCCTCAGTGAGGATATTACCCTTTAGAATGATCTACATTTTTGCCTGAATGGATCCTGAAATTCATACTAAACATAAATAAATACAGCTTTATTTGACAAACCACACAGAAAACATTTTAGAGTGCCATGCATTCACTAAACAAATAAACAGTTAAGGGTATGTTCATGTTTGTGGTAGACGGACGATGGCAAATCAAATTTTCCATTGTTTTCAATGGAGCTGCAATGGGAAATTCTGCTACCACAATAAAATTCACCAATCTCTCCAGTTGTTAATGGCAACAGACTAAACTAAATTTCAATATGTTCATTCAACTTAAAGATCTTGTTCGAATACATAAAATCATGAAAAGAATTCCCTTAACCCAGCATCAACATACCATCAACAACTTAGAAGTGGATAGGCCCTAATATTGACCCTTGAGGGACCCCGCAGCTAATGGTGGCAACAGAGGGAAAGAGGTTGCCTGTTATATCCCAGAGATTCCTTCTACCGCCATAAGTTACTGCTTTCATATAAGCCTAATCCAACTTACACTGACCATCAAAAGTTTGGGGGCACCTAGGGCTCTTTAGATGTTTTAAATAAATGATCATGTCTTTGTTGGTTTGCAATAATTTAACATTTTAAAGCCTAATCAAGGTGATTTATAGGAAAAAAATATTGCGTGTGGATATCTGTGATAGTATACATGACCATGCTCTTGTGATGTCAGCACCCATCAGCACTCTTATCAGGTGTTTAAACCTTTGGGCTTAAAGAGTTTCAGCATGGGCTTTTAACAATAGCTTGGAAAAGAAAACTATCAAATCATTATTTAAAACCTGCTCTTCACACCAACGGAGATGAAGATGAAGTGTTGAAGGTAAATATACACAAACATTTAATACTTTCACCGGTACTTTTACTGCATTTAAAAGTAACAGTAAAACAATTTCCATTAATTTATTTGGAAAATTTAAAAATGACGTTTCAGCTCTGGATTCAGTCCAGCTGATGTCCTAGAGTTATAGTTCCTGTTGTGTCAAAGGAAGGAGAACATGGAACTCTTCAGGAGTACCTAACATCTGCTACTCGAACCTACTCCACATCACCAGAGGAACCACCAGAGGAGCCTTCATCCTCGTGGTCATTCATTATCATTCTGTTTCCTCTCAGAAGATTCATCCATCATCCGTCCTGCTCTTCTCACTCTGCTCCTTTCTTCTCACTCCTCTTGTTCTATTCTTCATCTTTCACCTCTCTTTCTCGTCTTGTTCATTCATGCCTCTCTTCCAGCTCCACCCCCCCCCCACTTTCTTTATCCTCCTCTTCCAGCTCTCGTTCCGGTCTCGTTTGCTCATTTCTCTGTTCCAGCTCTGTTTCTTCTTGCACTTGTTCATTCCCCCCATCCTGCTCTCTTCCTTCTCCCGTTTGTTCTTCTCCCTCTACCAGCTCTCTTTCCTCTGCTTCTGCACTCAGGATATTATGTGAACCTTACAAACAGAAAGACAGTCAGTTCTTGATGTTCTGGTTTCATGAATGACCACATCTAGTGTCATTTCTATGAATAAAATATTTCATTGATCTCTATCAGTTTCACAGTGTACATTCAAACTCAGACTTGACTTGTGAACTGAAAAGTCCACATCCTACACTTTTATTGTATTATACTGGAGGCTATTTTTGTTATTGTGTCTGAAAGACTGAGATATGTAAATGAGCTCTATTCTGATGGGCTATGCCCTTGTCAAAAATCAGTCCAGACTGAAATAGTCCTACAACTTCAGTGTGAGTGGGCAGAGCTAAACTGCTGTAGGCTGAATATATAAATATATGTGTTGGTGTTCATGACATCAAAAAATTATTGAACTCAAAATGGCCCATTTCTGCAGCTTAGTTTCCATATATGGACTGTATATGTGCATACAAGCACAATCATAGCCACTTTCCTAATACAGGTGGGCACACATAGGCTAGCAAAACGGAGTTGAAAAAGTTAGCATTCGCAGAACCAAAGTCTGTAT